AGTCATGGGTCGACTCAACCTAATGAGTCGACTCATGACGAGTTATGGGTCAACTCATGAGCTAAAAACTAGATTCTTCGACTCTGTTGCTCGTCGGCTCGTTCGACGCTTCTCTTGCACTGATTGACACTTCCATAAGTCACCAAAATGTACAGGGTTTTACATTTTTGTACCTTCACTTCTACTTAATTCTACTGAAGGATATTACTGTGATTGGTGAAACATATTGTTGCACAATGGAGATGCATGGCAGGTTTGACATCTCTGGGTTCACCTTGGACTGTTGCCAAGTGTGAAAATAAGGGCATCACAATCAGGACTAGAGGCATGGTGGTGCCTGGCAAGCATTAAATGCAATGCTGACACGTTGTTAGTGGGCGAGGCTTGAGGTCGAAGTCATTTTCTAACTTTGGTCGAGAAGTAACGGCTATCGAGTCAACCTCGTAAGGAGTCGAATAACTGGTCAAGTGGGCTCGAAGCGAGTCGTCTTTGACAAGAGGACCGACAAGTACTACCTTTCAAGTCATCCTAAGAGGGCGTCGACTCGGCGGGTTGGCTAATGTAAAACCCCTAGAATTTAATAAAAGAGTTTTTATTGTAAAATATATGTTTATATCATAGATGAGTATGATAACAAGTGTTTGGGGATCAAATAAGTGTATTTATGTGAGAGAAATCGAGTGAAATAGACCAGCACACAAGAACCAACACAACTGAAATTATTGTTGTGCGGTCGACCACGGTGGACGTGGCGGTCGACCGTACGTCGCCTCTGCATCATCACAGAAAACCCTAGCAGCCTCCCCTCCTCCTCTTACAAACCCTATCTTGTTCTTTGGGTGATTCTTGGAGGATTTCGAGGAGTTCGAGCGAGATCCAGCGGCGTTCAGCGAAGGAGAACCTTCTCACGACCTTACCCACAGTAGTTCATCACCCCTCAGGTGAGTTTCATCTCGCCCAACCCTACACCTAGTTTTAAATGTTTTTAGATGATATTTTTCATGTGTTTTATGAGCCTAACATGCTAGTTTAAGTATAAAAAGTTTGATCTTTATATTGTATGTTGCAAAAGAACATGTTTTCAGTTAATAAAGATCACCCACGTTTTCCTAAGTACAGATCTAGATTTGGTGTTTATTCTAACAAGAGTGTTGAAAGAAAGATAATTGTTTTCGATGTGTTTACGTGCGTTTAAAGATGTTTTGATTTGTTTATAGTGATTAAACTGGTTATTAATATGCTAAATCACGTATAAGGATTGTTAGTGCACATGCAGGTTACACACAAAGCTTTAAAAAAATCAAAACCACGTAGAACAGAAACTGGAAAATAGTTCCTGCTTCTGCGCAGTCGACCGCGGTGGGTGCGGCGGTCGACCGCGTATCGTGCATAGGTTATATTTTAGTTTCTGTCTAAATCACGGTCGACCGTGCTGGGCATGGCGATCGACCGTCGATCGTGGTCGACCGTGCGTGGCACGACGGTCGACTGCTGGGAGCGCAGAAGAACAGGAAAGTTCCTGCTCTCTGGGCGGTCGACCGTGGTGGGCACGGCGGTCGACCGCGAGTCAATTTTTTCCCTATTTTAGTTGTGCATAGGTGTGTTGCTGGCAAGATTCCTAGGTTATTTGGGATTGTTATACACTGAGATTTGTGTACATGGGTTGACTACAGACATGAGTCTTAGATTTATTCACTGAGGCATGAGGGTGAACAATTTAGATGTTGTTTCAGACATTTTTTGTATGTTGAGTCCTTGTGTCGGACTATAATCATCAAAGTCCTCGTGTCGGACTATAATTACAGAAGTCCTTGTGAGGGACTATGAGCTACTGAAGTCCTCATGTCGGACTATAATCATCAAAGTCCTCGTGTTAGACTATAATCTACTACAGTCCTTGTGCTGGACCTTGAGCTACTGCAGGATTTTATATTTGACATATGACAAATTATTTATGGTATGGTTGGAGATGGAGTCATTACTCCACATTGTAGTTTGAATTTGGTAGTTAACTATTTATAATATGAGCTTATGGGATTGTTAAGTTACCCACGCACATGTTGTAAATTTCTAAATATCAAACTTCTATTTTATTTCACATTTGGTGTTTGACTATCTATATGTATTATCAGCTATTTTCATATCCTTCTAGCCCTTCCCCTTGGGGTTGGTTGAGATGTTACTCGCTATAGCGCTTTGACGTTCGTTGTTTCCCCACTTTCAGGTAACGATCTTGGTACGCGGAGAGCTGTAGTTTGATGGAGTCACTTTAGCTATTATTTATAGATAGTATTAGTAGTTATGTCAGAACTCCACAGTAGATGTATTTTGTTGAACATTTTGAGATATTATTTATAGTTTTAGAAAGGTGAATGTGCCGTAATATTATTCCATTTGATTTCACATTGTTTTTTTTTTTGTTAATGAAACTTTATTCATCTTCTAAAATATAGAATGTTATGCACAACAAACTTCTCAGAAAGACTGAGATTACAAAATAGCTACAAGCACCACTGTGAACTAAAAATTACAGTGTGCACATCCACTTCTTATCTTCATCCGAAAAAGGACCATTGAGAATGACTGTTAGAAGATTGAATTTAATCTCTTTAAACAATTGAGATGCTGATTTTCCTTCCTGTCTGAAAATCCTAAAGTTCCTTTCACACCAAATGTAATAGATTGAAGTGGTGAGAGCCATTTTCTTGACTTTTTGCTTAAAGTCATTCCCCCTCAAACAATGGCAATACCAGTTGATAATCTGGTTCCAGCAGGTAGCCTTCCATCTAAATTGTAACCAATTCATAACCATGCACCAAACATCCCTTGAGTAGAGACAATCGAAAAAAAGATGATCTCTGCTCTCTGAACCCGAACACCAGCAACAGGTATTAACACTCACAATATTCCTCTTAAATAGTCTATCTTGTGTGAGTAATCGATCTTGGACTGCAAGCCAGCTGATAAAAGAGTGTCTGGGCAAATTAGAATTAGCCCAAACTGTTTTGTACCACGGTACAGCTGAGGCAGTAGGAGAAAGGGCAGAATACAACACTGAGAGTTGTATTTTAGAGTTCCTGTCACAATTTTGTATAAGGTTTTTCAGATTGTCAGCTCCACCATAATTTCTCAAGGCCTTATCTCTTATTTTCAAGATGCTTTTCCACATCCATGAATCTCTGCTTTTTGCTTGGACATGCCAAATATCACCGTTGCTTAAGTATGAGCCATGAATCCACTTAATTCAAAGACTTTCCTTATTAATATGAATGAACCAAAGAGTTCTTAGAGTAGCAGCAAGATTCCATAGAGAGGCTGAATAGATGCCAAGTCCACCTTGCTTCCTGCTCAAACATACTTTATCCCAGGATATAAGAGAAATTTTGTGAGTGTGTTCAGTTTTGCTCCACAGGAAGTATCTGTACATTTCATCTATTTTCTTTAGGACTTTAATAGGGAGGACATAGTTTGATAACCAGTAGGTTTGAATGCCCAGAATGATGGTTCTAATAATCTGCAATCTGCCAGCATATGAAAGCAGTCTGTTCTTCAAACTGGACTGAAAATGACCTGCTATGTTGTTCAAGAGTGAAGAGCAATCATTGAAAGATAGTCTTTTGGATATTAATGGAACTCCCAAATATTTGATAGGAAAAACCCCCTCATTAAAATTTAAGAGCCTGTTAACAGATTCTTTAGTGCTATCATCAACTCCTCCATAGAATACTTTGCAATTGTTTGGATTTGCTTCATGCCCAGACACAGTACAAAAGTCTTTAAAACAGTTGAGGAGCAGCTCCACTGAATGAGAATATCCTTTGGAGAAGAGTAGAAGGTCATCAGCAAACAAAAGATGAGATATTTTAAGCTTACTGCATCCTGGATGATACTTAAATGATCTGTTCTCCTTAAGCAAGTCCAGCCTTCTTGAGAGAAATTCCATACCCAAATTGAATAAGTATGGAGAGATAGGATCACCTTGCCTTAGACCCCTCTTGCCTTTGAAATACCCATGAAGAGTACCATTTAATGACAGAGAGAATTTAGGAGTTGAAATGCAAACCATGATCCAGTTGATGAAATTGACAGGAAATCCAAGGCCTTTTAACATCTCATTTAGGAAATCCCAGTTAACAGAATCAACGGCTTTTTTGATATCAATACTCAACATAATTCTAGGAGAGATATGCTTCCTGTTATAGTTCTTCACAATCTCATTTGCAAGAAGGATGTTGCTAGAGATTTGTCTTCCTTTAACAAATGCAGACTGGCTGTCATTAATTAAGTATCCCATCACAGATTTGATCCTATTAGCCAGAATTTTGGAAATAATTTTGTAGAGACTATTGCAACAAGCTATAGGTCTGAAATCTGAAGGGGTCTTGGGACACTTCACTTTTGGAATCAAAGTGATGGCAGTAGAATTTATCACGCCCAGAATTTTACCTGTTTTAAAGAATTCCAATATAGCTTCAGTTACCTCATCTCTAATAATGCACCAAGCTGACTTGTAGAAGGATATACCAAATCCATCAGGGCCCGGAGCTTTCCTATCATCCATTGAGAAGACAGCGTGTCTAATTTCATCTCTAGTCACAGCTGAAGATAAGAAATTTATTTGAGCATCATTTAAACTTGGACCATTATGAATGACATTACTATCAGGCTTGACTAGAATTGTGCTTGAACCCAATAGTTGCTTGTAGTACTCAAGAAGCTCCTGAATGATTAAGTCACCATCAGTGATTCTGTTTCCTGCACTATCATAGAGAACCCTGACTCTATTAAGATGCCTTTTAGCTTTGACAGCTGAGTGAAAGAAACTAGAACTCCTGTCCCCTTGAGTACACCATTGAATCCTAGATTTTTGTTGATAGAAAGAGATTTCACACTCCAGCAGCTTATTGTAAGTGAGCATGTATTTTTTTTCCTGTTCAATCAAGTCAGCATTATTATTGTAAGTGAGCATGTATTTTTTTTCCTGTTCAATCAAGTCAGCATTAAGAGGATCTGATTGTAAATGCTTTTGGGCATTCTGCAGATTTTTTTTCCTGTTCAATCAAGTCAGCATTAAGAGGATCTGATTGTAAATGCTTTTGGGCATTCTGCAGATTAATTCTTGCTCTGATAACTTGCTCAGATATATTGTGAATTTTTTTCTTGTTTAAGTCCCTGAGAGCTACTTTCAGTTGCTTCAATTTACTGATCACTGAAAACATGATACAGCCTGGAATTTTCCCTTGCCAGATGGAAGTCACAGTGGGTAAGTAATCATCATGCTTGCTCCACATATTGAAAAATTTGAAAGGCTTTTTCCCTTGGACACAATCATCATATATTGACACCAATGCAGGAGAATGATCGGAGCAATTGGGCAGCAAATATTCAACATGGCTGGAGTTATAAAGATTAATCCAAGCATCATTGACCAGAGTACTATCAAGTCTACTCCATACTCTGGAATTTGCCTCTTGTTTGTTGTTCCAAGTAAAGAAACACCCTTCAGTTTTCAGGTGAGTAAGTTGACAGTCATCAATGAATTCCCTGATATCCAGTGTTTCAGCCACAGTAACCATAGCTCCTCCTAATTTGTCCTCATCATCAGTTATAACATTGAAATCACCACTGAGAATCCAAGGCTTATTACCAACTCTATGTTGAATTTGCCTTAGTTCAAGCCAAAGAGTTTTCCTATTCTCAATATGATTATATCCATATATAGAGGAGATAAAACAGTCTATTCTCCCATCTATGGATTTAACAAGGCTAGTAATATGCTGAGGAGAGTAACTGTCAACTTGGATGTCCAAAGTATTTGGATCCCATAAAATCAGTATTCTAGCTTTGGAAGAGTTGATAACATTTGAACACCATTTCCAATTACAAGCAATTTTCCTTGCTATAATAGGGATCTTGCATGCTTTGACTTTTGTTTCAATGAGAGCCATAAAGGATAAATGGTATTGCTGAATATGGATCTTGACCAAATGTTGTTTAGAGGACTTATTTAGCCCTCTAATATTCCAAAAGGAAAAGTTCATAATCTTGTAGTCCCCCCTATCTATTGTAGAGGGATTATCAATTAGATTATTGAGATGATAGAAAGAGTTCTCCTATCCTGGAAAGACTTTCAGACCAGTGTTTTGCATACCAGACCATGTTTTAGAGGACTGTAAACTTTTGCCTTTATTAGATCCAACAAAACCAAATTCTTGAACATGCACAGCCTGCACAGCTTTACTCCCTGATGGATATTTACTGTTATCAGCCAAGCCTTTAATTTTTCCAGCAGAAAATGCCTGAACATTATCCCTACTAGAAAAACCATCCAGCTCAAGTTCCTAAACATACACATTTTTTTTAGAAGTTGATTCAGTAAAGCTCTCAAATGCCCCAGGCAGACTAGTGTTTTCAACAGCAACATTTGCAGTTTGTGCCTGAACATGCACATCATGCACAGATTTGCCAGAGCTTTTGCTTATCTGATTACTCTTCAGATTCTCATCACCTTCAGACAACTTTGGAAGAGATCCAGCAACATTTGCTGATTGTGCCTGAACATGCACAACATGCACAGGTTTACTAGGGTTTTTTTGTATCTGATCCTCATGCTGGTTATGTGTATGAATGAACTTGTCAGAAATTCTTGTACTAGTCTTAGGTACCCATTTCTGAATCTTAGGATGCTTTTTACAGAAATTAGTATCATGCCCCACAATTTTGCAACTATCACACCATTTAGGTTTGAACTCATAGATTACTTTTTGATTATATACTTGACCATTAGGTCCATGTATAGGAATAGAGTCTGGAAGAGAGGAGGGTATATGGACTTCAACCAAAACCCTAGCATAAGCCAACCTTTGCTTACTAGCAGTGAGCTTATCAGTGGCAACAGGTTTACCCACATGACTTGCAATTTTGCTTATAGCCTTTGAACTCCACAGATTTAACCTTAGTCCTGGGTTTACCCACATGACTTGCAATTTTGCTTATAGCCTTTGAACTCCACAGATTTAACCTTAGTCCTGGCATTTGAATCTATAAAGGATAAACACTTCCATCAATCTTATCAATATCATCATCATTGGACCATATTTTCAACAAAAGAGGTCTAGAGCCAAAAAACCATGGGCTGTTCACAAGTATGTCCTCCATTTGCTCTTTGCTATGAAATTTAAACAGGAACATTCCAGGTTTGAGTAAGCACAAATCTGGGGCAGTCCATTTAGCCTAGACTTTGTGTACATAATTTTCCATAGCTTTGTATTTGACATTTAAACCAAGCACTTTACCAATTAAAGAGAATTGCCAGTTAGAATTACCTTCATTCCATTCCTCCTCACTAAATGACACAAAATCATTATTTTCTGGCTTCACAAAGTTTAAGTTCAAACCATAACTAGTTTTCCTATTATCAGCAAATAGGCTAATCCAACTTTTCTTGACATTTCCAGTATCAATAACCAGATTTCCTTCATTATTAATATCATTCTTATCAGAGGAATCCAGATTTCCAGCATCCTTTAAGCTCTCATTTTTTTCATTTAGATTCTTGAAATTATTCTTAATAGGAACAGAGGAATCATCCAGTAAAGAAATCAGATTACTCTGAGAATTTGCATCCAATGAACTAGCAGGATTCAAATTTAACTGATTACGAGCAAATTCAACTTCATCAGACCAAGAAACCTTACCAGAACCACCAGTACCAGATCGAGACCCCAAAGAGGCACGAGATCCAACAATCACTTGCGGAGAAAGACAATCTTGAATCCTTGCAGAAATCACAGAGTAATCAAGATTTTTAACAGAATTACATGTTGAATTCAAGAACTGATGCCGCTGTGGAAGATTATCAGTTGAATCTAAATCCTCAATCCAAGGAATCTTCGAGGTATCACTTGCAACAAGATTCCGATGAGATTTGTAGCCAGCTTGCTGCGATGAAAGTGGATCAGAATTTAGAAGATCTGCCATTAGAACTTTTTTCTTTTCTCCCTTAGGTCCAGTTGAACCCATAAGATCCGATGTGGATCCTTCATCATCTTCATCAAATCCAGCATCAGCATGATCCTCAGATGGAGAGAAGCTTGAATTCGACGATCTTAAACCAATTTCAAGAATTTTCTTCCTATTTTTTCCTTTCTTTTTTGCCATTTTTCAAACCTCGGCGGGGGCGCAGGTTAGCAGGAAAATCACCTGCTAACTTGCACCAGAGAGCCGCCCCATTTCTGGTAAGCTTGATACCTTGTGATTGTGAAGAAATAGATGTTTTGGTTTAGTTTTGTTTTGATTTGATTTGATTTCACATTGTGAGACAGTTGTATTAGACCGGATGTTTTATTATCAGAGGTTATCCATTTATGTCAGTGATGATGACTTTTCTTCAGAGTATCAGTTGTTTAATATTTCTTCTGTATATTCCCTTTTGCCTATTTTGTACCTACACCTGTTATTGATTCCACTAGATAGATATTTATTATGATGGTGAAACATGTTATTGCACGGTATAGTGCATGGCAGGTTTAACATTCTTGGTTTCACCTCGGACTACAGCCTTGTTGAAACCAGGGGCGTCACAGTTGGTATCAGAGCTCTAGTTCCAATATCCTTAGGATCATCCTGTGTCGAGTTGTGGAGTTAGAGTAGAGTTTCTTAAGATTCGTATATAGAGTCTGCTAGAAATTTCCAGTATGAGTGAGGACGTTATATACGCGTATTCAAAAAAAATACGAATATTTTTTTTGTGATATTAAAAGTATTTGTGTGAATAATATATGATATGAGATTATTATATGTTTAGTTTGAGGACTTATAAACCTTCTTCTATGTGCTCAGATGGCAGGACGTGGTAGACCTCGCATTAGGAGAGCTGGTCAGGCAGAGCCGCAACAGGCTCCACCAGCAACGCAGCAGGCTCCCTAGTATTTGATAGACTTGATGGCTCCCATAGCCGCTAGGATGGCAGCACTTGAGGAGCTTGTGACGAATCATGTCATACCACCACCACCAGTAGTTCCACCACCAGTTGTGCCAGCTACTCCTATTGCAGAGGACTTTCTAGAGGGCACACGGGTAACCACCCCGCATGCAGTTGTAGATAGGGCAGCAGAGCAGGAGACTTGGCTCTGCTTAGTGGAGAGATATCAGAAGATGAGGGCACCAGAGTTTCAGGGATCATCAGATTCTCTTGCAGCTACCACCACCAGTAGTTCCACCACCAGTTGTGCCAGCTACTCCTATTGCAGAGGACTTTCTAGAGGGCACACGGGTAACCACCCCGCAGGCAGTTGTAGATAGGGCAGCAGAGCAGGAGACTTGGCTCCGCTTAGTGGAGAGATATTAGAAGATGAGGGCACCAGAGTTTCAGGGATCATCAGATTCTCTTGCAGCACACAAATGGAAAGAGGATGTGAGTAACATTCTTGATATTCTGAATGTGACATCGGTTCAGAAGCAGAGGCTGGCATCTTACAGTCTCAAAGGGGATGCAGGGAGATGATATCGGTTGCAGTTTACTCCAGATCAGAGGATGACACTCACCTGGGGGGACTTCACCTATTTCTTTGATGAGCAGTTTATCTCTTCCGTAGTACGGGTCGGGAAAGAGCTTGAGTTATCCAGATTGTCTCAGGGAGACTTGTCAGTAGTAGACTTTGAGAGTAAGTTTATGAGCCTGCTTCATTTCACAGGCATGTGACAGACCGGAGAGCGCCGGGATTAGATGTTTCTAGCAGGACTTTGTCCCAGCCTTCGTCGATACCTCGTTTCTAGATGGTTTTATTCAGTTCGAGAGGTAGCAGATGCTGCCATCTCTCAGGAGAATGAGTCAGCCATGTTCCAGAAGGACAAGGAGGGGAACAATAAGGAAAAGGGCAAGAATAAGAGGTCTTTTTTAGGACCCCAACAACAGCATCAGCAAGGCTCTCATAGGAGAGGACCCTAGCATGATCAAAGAGCGCCTCAACAATGCAAGTTCTAGGGTACTTGTTTTAAGTGTCACAAGTTTGGCCACAGAGCATCAGAGTGTCACAGTGCACCAGCAGAAGCCCAGCAAGGGAAAGGGCAGAATCAGCAGCAGGGCAGATTTCAGGGCTGAGGTCAGGGCCAGCAGGCGAGACTTGAGGTGCCGCCAGCAGTTCCTATGATTGAGGGACAGGTTCGTGCAATTCTGGAGGTCCCTCACAAGCAGGTAACCCCATATGCTCCACCTCCAGCAGCAGAGCAGCTTCCAGCCACCGATAGGGTTTATGCAGTAGTTCCTCGTGACTATGGTGCGAGCGGGACCGTAGTGGAGGGTACATTCTCAGTGAACTCCTTTCCAGCCCATATTCTTTTTGATTCAGGAGCTTCGCACTCTTTCATATCTTATGTTTTTATTATTAGACTTTACCTCGTTTCTCAGCCTCTAGACATTCATTTATCAGTTTTCACCCCTCTAGGTGAGATGTCGCTCTTGGAGAGCATTTGTAGGAGGTGTATCATCAGTTTAGATGAGTCTGAGTTTGTTGTCAACCTGATAGTGTTGAGCATGTCAGAGTTCGATGGTATTATTGGTATGGATTGACTATTTTCCTACCATGTCAGTATCGACTGTTTTGCGAAAACAATCAAGTTGCGAGCATCTGATGGGTCCGAGTTAGTTGTGGCAACCTCTCAGGGGAACCAGTTTGTGGAGTCATTACTAGCGTACATCGAGGAGGTGATGTTTCAGGAGAAGAGCATTGATATATGTGAGACTAGAGTTGTCTCGGATTATCAGGATGTCTTTCAGGACATACCTGGGTTACCTCCTGTGAGAGAGGTTAAGTTCTATATTGAGTTGCAACCGGGCATAGCCCCGATATCCCAAGTACCCTATCGCATGACACCTGCTGAGATGAGGGAGCTATAGACCCAGTTGGATGAGTTGTTAGCTCAGGGTTTTATTCATCGGAGTCATTCTCCGTGGGGAGCGCCGGTCCTCTTTGTGAAGAAGAAGGATGGTAGTATGCGATTATGCATCGACTACCATGAGTTGAACAAAGTCACTATCCGGAATAGATACCCTTTACTTCGGATTGATGACTTATTCGATCAACTGCAGGGAGCGTAGTATTTCTTAAAGATTGATCTTCATTCTGGTTATCATCAGTTGCGTGTCCGGGAGATGGATATTCCTAAGACCACCTTTTTGACTCGTTATGGGTCCTTTGAGTTTTTGGTCATGCCATTTTGGATGACCAATGCACCCGCGGTATTCATAGATTTGATGAATCAGGTTTTTCGTCCATATTTGGGCTAGTTTATGATTGTATTCATCAATGATATTCTTATTTACTTGAGATCAGAGTCGGAGGACGAGCAGCATCTGCGGTTGGCTTTGCAGACCTTGCGTGAACATCACCTATATGCTAAGTTCAGCAAGTGTGAGTTTTAGATTTCTGAGGTCAGGTTTCTTGGCCATATTGTCAGTAGAGAGGGCATAGCAGTAGACCCAGCTAAGGTTTCAGCAGTGATTAATTAGGAACCGCCAAAGACGGTTACCGAGATTTGTAGCTTTTTAGGGTTGGCCGGATATTACAGGAAGTTCATTCAGTACGTCTCGAAGATTGCGATGCCACTTACACGTCTTACGAAGAAGGGTGTATAGTTCACTTGGAGCATGGAATGCCGGAAGGCCTTTGATATCTTGAAGGCTAAGTTGACTATGGCGCCAGTTCTTACTATTCCGAGCAGTGACGGGATATTTGTTGTATACACAGATGCTCGTTAGTAGGTTTGGGAGGTGTTCTGATGAAGACTCAGAGGGTAGTAGCATACATCTCATGGCAGTTAAGGGTACATGAGCAGAACTACCCCACTCATGATTTGGAGTTAGCAGCGTAGTATTCACGCTGAAGGCGTGGATACACTACTTATATGGAGTTCAATTTGAGCTTTTCACAGACCATCATTAAGTACCTTTTCTCATAGAAGGAACTTAATCAGAGGC